CCCCCCCCCCCCCCCCCCCCTTTCCCCTTTGCCCCCTCCTCTGGGCTCCTGATTCTTTCTGCATTCTGTCCATTGCGACTCCTTGGCGCCTTCTTACTGCTGTATTTCAGCAACAACGCTTGTCTTACGGTAGGTAAGATCTAACACCTTGCCTTCTGGGATAAAGGCGACCCATTTCGGAAGTCCTGTGTGCTAATTACGCACGTTAAAGATCCATTGGTGATCCTAAAATCGACAAGAGTAGGCTTCAGCCGCCACCCGAGGAAAATTCAAAACTCTTCCAAATTGAAATCGTTTAATGTATATCGCGCGTTATATGACCTGATGCAGTTGCGAGCTTCGCAAAACACTTACCAGAAGAATAAAAGGCTAAATTTCTCCTTTATTTCTTCTTCTTTTTTTTTGCAAGACTGTGTTTTACGGCGACCGACCCTTTTCTCGCTAACTTCACCACCTGTTGGCAAAAATAGCAGATACACCTCTGCCTTCTTAAATTGCACATAATAATATTATTTTTTAAACTTTTATGCATGATAGACCAACTTTTTTTAAAACCACATTTTAAAAAACTTTGCCAGAGCGTTCATGTCTAGCACCTCACCCGCGGCCACAAAAAACCATCAACAAACGAACAAACAAACGAACAAAAAAAAACCTACGTAAAATAAAACATACTCATATCTGTGAAATATTATTATATTCATAATACATGTAATATTTTGCTATTTGAGTTCATCACGAGCATTCATATCGCTTTCTCCAACATTGCATTTTTTCTGTTTCGCTCCACTTGTTCATTCTGAATAAACTTCATTCGTCTAATCTAGTGTGCGTTCATTTTTCTTCTTTTTAAAGAGAGGATGGAGTAGGGTGTGCAGTGAATACACAAACTGTTGTTCAAGGACCACAAACGTAATTCTGTTCTCTAATTTCAATAGGTCAGCAAAGTGCTTAGAATGACTGATAAGCCTATATTTTCTAGCATGAAAACGTGGGGCTATTCACTTTTTTACGTGGGTCAGCTGTTAATTCTTATCCTGAGGTGTGTGTGTGTGTGTGTGTGTGTGTGTGTGTGTGTGTGTGTGTGTGTGTGCGTGCGTGTGTGTGTGCGTGTGTGTGTGGTGGGGAGGGGGTTGCAATCCTTGTGCAGATCTTTCGAACTAGAGCACATTCAGATGGCTTGATTCGTTCGACTTTTCGCGTTTTGTTATGGTCACGCTTGTATGCGTGTGCTCCCCAGTTGTCTTTCAGAGTCCTAAATCCCAGCGGTCACGCCATATTGAATATAATCTCCCTGTGTCGGGCATGAGACCACACTTAAGCCTCAACGTGTAGAACATGAACTTTATTAGTCCTTTAAAAAAACGGGACATTTGAATTCGAAATAGTACGCCATGGAAATGAAACAGGGGGATATTTTAGAAAGATTTGTAATGTTTTTCAAGACAGAAAAAAGTCTTGTCTGGTAGAGAACACCGAGATTTGGTCAATGAAGGCTATCCTCTTTTCTGTTATAATGTTCATCATTGTCTTGATTAAGTGGTTTAAGAATGACACATACGGTCCTCGAATCGAGAGTTTGGAGATGATTTTTTTTTCTTTTAATAGGTGAGAGTCAGGTTAGTGAAAGAAACACAAGAAACAAATGCAGTCTGATCAGATTCGAAGAAACTACTATATCGGAACACAATGCTCCTAATTGGCGCTGGGCCTTGCAATTTCAGAATTGTCGCACGCCTCTTCCCCCTGTATGTATGTACACAAATTAAAATACAAGCCCACATACGCGCGATGACTTTAGAGCCTTTCAGATCTTGCACACACAAAATCACTGTCTGTCTGTCTGTCTGTCTGTCTAACTGTCTGTCTGTATGTCTTTCGCTGTCTGGCTGTCTGTCTCTCTCTCTCTCTCTGTCTCTCTCCCTCTATGTCCTCCTCTTCCTCTCCCTTCTCCTTCTCTTTCTTCCCCTCCTCTTGCACACACAAAATCACAGTCTGTCTGTCTATCTGTCTGTCTAACTGTCTGCCTGCCTGCCTGCCTGCCTGCCTG